CTAATAAGAACAATAGGCAGTGAATCTCACTCATTGTCCTGTCTAGAATTTCCTTTTGTAATCACTGGGAATTGGATCAGACCTCTACTAATACTGTTCTAGGCCAAGTATCCGGTGCTGGCGTCTTCAACACGATCGACAACGATAAATTCATCTTCAATGAACCTGGTGTCTACAACTTCCTCTACATTCCCAAGACCGTTCATTCACCAGAAGTTCGTGTACAAGTCCGAATGGAACGATATCCCAATAGAAAGGTAATCGGTTACGTGCACCTTTTACGGTACTTTGAAGTGGTGCTATGTACGACTGTAGTCTCGAGTCGACGTTCTGCGAGTATTTGCAGTTTTTCAGGTAGATTTTGGTCTACTCGGGCGGTACATCTCACAAGCCGAGCTCGTTCAGCCCACTAATGCCACTGTGATCACTGGTAAGGATATGTTCTTTTTCAAAAATAGTGACCTTTCTAGAAGCTGAGGTAGGAGTCAAAATTTGCGATGATTGCCCCTTTCTGGCACTGCATTTTACAGCAGTGTATGTCACATAAGTGGATGTCTTCAGTGCAACACATTTCATAATTATAAGATCCTGCCCAGATGCTGAAGGCGCTGTTCGATTCAGGAGGGGCATTTTGCGCTTCCGCTAGTTCATTTTGCTGTTCCTTTTTCCATTGAAGACTCTACACGGTGTAAAGCTCCTGCTATTGCATAGCATTACGGCAATGCAGATCTCCACAGGAGACATCAGCCATGATAGCTGGGAACACGCAGTATGCCCCCACCGAGCCGAACTGGGCCATTTTGTACTTCGAAAACGGGCCGCCAGCTTTGAATTTTCCTAGTATAACTGACTGACTGAAATGACTGAGATGACTTCTCTACACCCAATGGAGTAAATTCCCTCCGCTTTCATAACTTGACTGCAGACACCATACCGTAACTTTTCACAATTTTTATTTAGTATTGTACCGTGTTACACATATATATGATCAGAAAAACAAACAATATTAATGGTAGATGGAAAAGAGTTGATAACCGCTGGTTTGTCAGAATTCCTGGTTCGGATGAGCGCGTGTCGGCTCGGATAAGCGCGTTTTAGGCGCCCTTGGGCTGCTTTCCAGGCGTCTTGCTCGAACCGAATCTTGCAAAGTGTCAGCTTTTGCAGGGAGTATGGTCGCCAAAGTACCTTGTTAAAATTAATGTAGTAATTAATATAACATTTCACTAACCTAACCCTTACCTTCTTCTAGCCTTGAGGAAGATTAGATGGAAAGGCTTCTGCTTTTTATGATGGTGAATTCAGACTATTTATTTATTTATTTATTTATCATGCACGCACGGGTGCGCTACATTATGAGCGAAACAGATAAGTTACAAAACAAATCGACACAAAGAAAAATAACCAGAACATCAACAAACTTGGCAACACAAATACTCACAAGCGGAGACCCTCCAGACCCTAAACTTTCAAAAATCTTGAATGCCCACAATAGTCGGTATGTCAACTTCCTTAAGTTTCCTCTTGAAAACCAAGGTACTTGGCGCCTTCTGCAGCTCTGATGGCAGCGACTGAAGCCACCTTGCTCCACGGAAAAAAAGTAATATCGCTCTACAAGAAATCTCATTTCAGGTGTCACGTTAGAAGCAACTGGTACTGACCGAGTTTATGTTATGGCCAGAAAGGATACGCGACGTTTCCGATATCGTACAGATATTCATCGTTGGGAATATTCTACGATACTTTGATACCATTCGACTGCAGAGATTCAGAGGTTTGTTTCTTATGCTACAGTTAATGCACATTTCGATCGAAAATCATTCATAATAAATAAATAAGTGAAAGAGGTTTGTAATAAATAAAAGGCACAGCGCATGTTGATCGCATGGGCGGTGTCAGGCCTACCGCTGTGCCTTCTTCATTGCGCCTCTCCCCTAAGCCAAGAGGAGGGAACACCAAAGAGTATTGAATAGAACGCGTAATGGGTATTTTTTATGCTTGCTATTGAGCGTTAAAAAAACCAAGGCAAAGGTGCTCAGGAACCGAGAAACGTCAGGTCTTTTCTGTCTCTGTGCCCCCCCCCTCCATTCAACCAGGTACTTGTTCGCTCAGTACATACCCCCTTTCCTTTCTCCCACAACTGAATTAGAGTGCGCAAGCGTGCAGAAGAATTTCGTACAGGACACGTCGTGTGCTTGGGATCCCTGGCGGGGAGGGGGTCGTACTTGGTCGCTGGAAGTAGGAGGGTAGGAGGAGATCGTATTTTGCTCTGAGAAAAATGTTTCGTTTGTTGACTTTGATCCAGTTTTTCTCGTTCCGTGTGCGCTGTACCCCCTTCCCGCCACCTCGTTCGACGACAGTTTTTCGGAGAAAAGCGAAGGAAATTCTGGAAAAAAAACTCCGGAAAAAGGTGGAATGGGAATGGGAAACTTTATGACTATGGAGTAGGCAAGATGGGGGATGAGTACTGGGCGAGGGGTCGTACCGGAGGGCAGAATTTCGAAGAGTCGTATTTCTCGAGCGGCAAGCCGTGTCCTGATTTTGAATGTTCACCGGCATGATATTTAGGAAAATTTGGTACCATTTCACTACAAGCAAAATTTGACCCGTTTCCAGCGTTGTTTAGTCCACTTAATTCCTGGCATTTTTCAGGTGTACTGGTCTACGTGAACAACGTCGAGCGAGGACAGCCGGAGATCTACGTGGTCCTGGAGGAAGCGCAAATTGGAATTCGAGTCCGCGAAAGCTATGCACTTGACATTGACCGACTGCCGATGTACCAGGAGAGTATGGGCATGCTGGATATCCAATTATCAGTTCCTCCACAATATGGAGTAGTAAGTTATTCTCATGAGTTTCTTCCAGAATTCATCCCATACAAGTCCCTTTTTCCAGAGACCGGATGGCGACAAGACCCGTGAGACAGAGCTGCGCCAACGATACGATCTACCACGTATTAGCGGGCTGATGAGACCGTTCCCCGAGCAGACCAGTGCTGCTATCATGCAGGGACTTACACTCAATGACGTGAACTCAGAGACTTACCGACAACAGATTGTCAACAATTGTGAGTGGGCAGCGAGGTTACCTGCACAGCACGTTTTATCGAACTCCATTTCAGACCGAATCGTGGGCTCTGGAGAACCCGGCTCCGAGCAGAATCCCGTGGGAACACTTGCGCAGGGCCTTCCAACAGAGAACATGTTCACTACGAGCAAGGATGAGGACAAACAGTTCGATGTCTTCCCTGAAGCCAATTTACGCGCCGGTCCCATTTATAAAACGGCACCGATGTATGATAGGTGAGTTTCAGCTCATCATATAGTGTCCTGAATAATGTTGAAAAAATATACTGACATTTCAGCGGAGCGTATCGATTTGATCCCCAGACGGGTATGGACATCAATCAAGAGCTTAATAACTGTCGTGGATTGCAGGAGGATGTTTCATGTGAGTCTTGTAATAATTTCATTCCTACTTCATTGCTTTACCATCAGACTACGAGGGGTAAAGCTTGTCCCTATGTACCCTTTACA